TTTTTATTGTGTTAACTCAGTTTTATTTATTTTTATATAATTAATTTTATTTAGTTCTTAACTAGTGAATTAATTAGTATTTTAAAATAATATCCTAACAAATTAACAACTCATTTTTGAATATTTTTCATTCAAAACTATCCACTTTAAATTAATCTTGAAAATTAAAAATAATTAAATTAATCAAATGTAATAATAAATATAAATTTAAGATTTCATAAATTAAAGATTAGATTTATATTTGTATACGCTTTGTAGTATATTTCTTGAACTAAATACTAAAATGTATAATTATTTAAATGATCTGCAAATATAATAAAAAGATGACACAAAAAGATCATTTAATGTGAAAATTAATGAAAAGTACGGAAATTTAGTGTAAGAATGGGTGGAACAGGTCTGGTATCCAACTGTCGCGAGAGGTCGACCCATAATAGAGTTCTGTGGAGTGCGTCCATGCGATCACATTATATCCTTCTTTGAGACAAATACTCCCGAGTCTATCGACTTAGACATTGAAAAGATTCCCAAAAATGTATGAATTAGTATAGATGAGTTGACGTTAAACGGGAAGCCTATAATTAGCGGGTTCGCGACCAACTTTGCCCATCACTAGTATGAGTCCACTGACGTTATCGAGAATGAAGTAAACAAATGGTTTATCGATCTCAACATAAGTCACATCCGAGTTCTGTTTCTCAGGGGTTTTGTTCTGATTGTTCTTATTATTACTCATATTATTGTTATTATTCATCACTTCCTTGATATCGATGTAAGTCTTGTGCATTATATCCGATACGTGAAGCCATTTATAGTCGGAGATGTGGTAGAGGTTAGCGAAACCGGGTTTAAACAGATCCGAAAGACCCATATTAACGAAGGCTTGCGACAAATTTCGGTTACTTTTCTCGAAACTCAATTTAGGCATCTTTTGGACATAAAAATACATTAATTTTCACGCAACTTATAAATACCATTTACATTAAAACATTTTTGAGGCATTATTTCGAAAATATTGTACGGATTCTCTGATATAATCTATTATTTTCAGTATAAATAAATTTCACGACAAATTGAGGCAAAGCCACACAATTACTGATAAAAAGACATCTTATAAATAAAATAATAGCACAAAACTAATGCTATTCTCGCGAAACAAAAGTAAAGTCAAACCTAAGAGAGATAAGAGATTATAATCATAAACCAAAATAATGATTGTCTAAAAAGTTATTTTCGAGAGAAATTGTATAAAAATAAAAATCGGGATATAAGTCAGAATTAACTCTGAATTTAAGATTTCAAAAATGGTATAATAAAAAGATTTTTATTGCAAAGTTAAGAGGTTAGCACATATTTTATACTGTAAAGAATGTTATCAAAAATATTGCAAATCAAATAAATGCTATTTTAAAATTATTCTATAACTTCCTTAAAGTAAACTTTTATATATTGCAAAACTAAATCTAATTTTAAATAATATGAATTAAATTTTAGGAGTTCAAGATTTGAAAATAATTCAATAAAATATTTAAATTGATTTATAGTTTAAATTTTGCGAAAATATCTTATAAATTGACTCACTTTTAAAGAAACTCTTTTAACGTCGAGACCACTGATAACATCGCTAAGCATTTGGGCACTCATTCGCGTCAACATTAGGTCCAATCCATTGGAATCGTGAGGCATAATGACCACCAAAGATAAGATACCGCCTTTGAATGGCATCTCAACAGTAGTGCAGTTTAGATATGTATTGATTCCGTGTCTAATTCTGGATCGTCTCGACTCCAAAATAGTCGGTTCGTCTCCAAAAGCGTCAAATCCATACATAGGCTTCAAGTGATTGCTATTGACTTTTGGATTATTGCTGTTATAAATGTAATTATTATTGCGTTTGGAAGCCGTCATCGATATATCGAGGGTTCCCTCGAAGTAAAGGGCACTTAAGAGTAGCAAATGAGTGGCAGCCGATTGTCTTTCGGGCAAAATGTCCTTCACTTTGTTTCCGGTTTGCATTTCAACGATTGCATTGATGTGTTGTCGGGTCTCCTCTCCGTTGTGGACGAAATCCAACGGATGAATAGCTGTCTTATAGAACCTCTGCAGCAGAATATGATAGTTATAATTGATTCCGAAGTCTCTCTGAGAGTATATGTTGTTTAAGAAAATGATTTCGTTGTCATTGGTTTCGTTGAATAAATAGTTACTCGAAGATATGAGACCCGATTTGCGGTGTCTGAGCCCATACGGGAGGTTAACCCCCAAGTGGTTCATCATATCATAGAAGGCAAGATTGATCTCTTGGGAAGTCATTCCCCACAAATACAATGAGTGACGGAGTGCTGATTCGGTGCTTCCCTGAGCGCCCATCAGAAGCATAGCCAGTGATGAGCCGATACAAAACGGACAGAAAGCCATCGTCGCCTCCGACCTGTCCATAGCCCTCATGAGGTCGAGACCAAACTGATTGGTAGAGGCGGACAACTTCCTCATTCCAAAGGATATCACTTGTGAACTACATATCCAGAAGTGGACAGTCGTGGCGCAGACCAGTAGAAGCCAACGCGAAAGTGTTAACTTCATTCTCAACTGTTTGACAAATATATTCACATTACAGATAATCCACAGTTTTATGATTTGCGGACAAATTGATATGAATCCAAAACTGGAAACATTTGCATATCAATTGAAAGTGCAGTTATGGATGAAAATATAGGATCAGTGAACTCAATAAAGTGTCTCCCTTTTCATCATATTTATGACAAAAATTGTTTTTGTTTTCAAAAACAATGCATACCTGTCCGCATTAATTGCTTAATTATAAACTCATAGGAATTTGTTCCCTAACTATTATATACAAAATAGTTTATACATAATATAAGCAAAAATTTAAATATAAATAATTAGACTATATAAATTAGATATTTAAACTAAATAAATTAAAAAGTAAATTATTATAAATATTAATTAATACAGAGTTAATGATTGAAAATTGTAAACTTTTAATAAGAAAAAAATTATAGAAATACTTTGTTTTAACAAAAAAAGGTCGATGACATTAATAATTAGAATTCATAGTTAGTGATGAGAATTAATACTAGAGATAATTGAAATTTGACAAATAATATCAGAAATCAATAGATTTAGACCACTACAGAATGTAAAATATTAATTAGTTAATAATTAATATAAACGATACATACATTTGCATAGAGAATTGAGTGTTGATTCTGTCGATTGCCTGTAACATGAACTCACATATGAAATACAACAAAGTTTTAGAGTTCATTATTCATACATTTTTGGGAATCTTTTCAATGTCTAAGTCGATAGACTCGGGAGTATTTGTCTCAAAGAAGGATATAATGTGATCGCATGGACGCACTCCACAGAACTCTATTATGGGTCGACCTCTCGAGACAGTTGGATACCAGACGATGATTATTGTGTTGTTCCACCCATTCTTACACTAAATTTCCGTACTTTTCATTAATTTTCACATTAAATGATCTTTTTGTGTCATCTTTTTATTATATTTGCAGATGATTTAAATAATTATACATTTTAGTATTTAGTTCAAGAAATATACTACAAAGCGTATACAAATATAAATCTAATCTTTAATTTATGAAATCTTAAATTTATATTTATTATTACATTTGATTAATTTGATTATTTTTAATTTTCAAGATTAATTTCAAGTTGATAGTTTTGAATGGAAAATATTCAAAAATGAGTTGTTAATTTGTTAGGATATTATTTTAAAATACTAATTAATTCACTAGTTAAGAACTAAATAAAATTAATTATATAAAAATAAATAAAACTGAGTTAACACAATAAAAATGAACACTAAGTTAATCAAAACTCCTACTTTCTACGAGTTCGTGAATTATAGATAGTGTTTATCCAATAAAGCTGTTAAACCAGTTTCCTGTAACCCATGAAAAATTCATTGATTTAATATGAGTTACAAATTGAGGTTAAGTGCAAATTGGGTGCTATTCTCCTATTTTGGCCATTCGTTTAACACGTCTTAACTATTAAATGTATTTTCATTTTGTTTTCAATTTTATTAAATTACGATTATATAACTATAAATATGAGACTTAAGAGATTTATAGTAATTGTTATTTTAATAGTTTTTATCACTTGTTTTGTCAGATTCCTCAGTGTTTTCATTGATAAAGTCTTCACTCAAGAAGTTGTTTACAAAATCCGGAATTCTATTCCATCTGTTGTGGGATTTACTGAAGAATTGAATCCAAAGATAAAATTTTGTGAAAATGTTATAAAACCAAAAAATATTGTAATAAATCACGACTATTGGCAACAAGTGATAGAAGAAAATATTTATCTCTATTCCGCTTATTATGACAATAGATATCAATTGAATGGTGTGTCCTATCATTACATCAGAATTATAGGAACCGTTAAAGACAGGACATCCATAGAAAGCCTTTACTGTTATTTGTGGTGTAATTATTCAAAGAGTCCTTTAGTTGTGTCTGCGATCAGCAAAGAAATATGGGCTCAATTGTGGCCCAAAGACGTGAAGCAAAAACTTTACAAAACATATCTGTTCTCATGCCCTGTGCCTCAACAGTACAGATATCAAGTGATTGCGATCTCAATAACAACTCACGAATGCATTAAACCATTAAATTATCTAAAAATCAGACAAAACGAGACTAAATATGACGAGAGAAAAGACTTCGCCGTTTGTGTTAAAGCAATGGACTTTCAAAAAGATATCTCAAAGCGTTTGATTGAATGGATTGAATTGCAACTGCTATTAGGCGCTGACATCATCTCGTTTTATGTCTATTATATTAACAAAAGCACACAAAAAGTGCTCAATTATTATGAAAAAAGTGGTAAAATTCGCACCAAATATATGTCTATTCCAGGCGCTGGTCCTAATGAGCCGCTCATTAGGTTTCAGTACTTAAAGGATAATATTTGGCAGAAAAGACGCCTCGAATTGATTCCATACAACGACTGTCTTTATGATCACTTGTATTCACACAGATTTGTAGTGCTATTAGATTTGGACGAAGCGATTGTCCCTCGACTTCATAACCATTGGACACAAATGATTGATTACATCATAAGCTTAGAGCCTAACGCTCTGCAACTCTACACATCATTCTCTGCACAAAACGCTTACTTTTTTGGCCAAATAAACAACAGATTTCTGCAAAACCTCTCAAATAATGAGTTGTCCACAGATTTTCTCATATTAAGACACGTCTACAGATCAGCCAATTTCAGTGCTAAGGGATTTGCGGTCAAGAGCTTCATATCTACCGACACATCTCTGGCCGTCTCCAACCACTTCACACTCTTTCCCCTCTTTCATAATATGAGCACATATTCAATGATAAGCAAATCATTGGCTCAACTCAACCACTATCGAGATGTCTGTCCCGACACTATGCATGTCGAGTGCAAAGACAACTTTCTCAAGTACTCTACTATTGATACTATAATTTGGAAATTCAAGAATCAGTTAATTCATAGAGTCTTAAATACCAGTCAATTTATTAGACACTATGAAACTTAACTGTAATATGAATACTCTATAAGCTATTTATGTTAATTTCATAAATATTTATTTCTGTTATGTTTAGTAATGTTATATTTATATAATACAATTATGATACTTTATATGATGTACGTTATTAGGATATGATAACTAATTAAAAAATAAAAATAAAAATTTATTTAAGAAATCATACCATATAAGAATATGAAGGGGTTATCAAGAATAAATTGATTGTAGGGTGTATTGAGTTGCTGCCAAACCACAAGTTTGTTGAGACTCCTCTGGGTTTCCGTATTTATTGACAGTATTTAATTAAATTCACTCTAAAATTATTCATACAATGTTGTACAGTATAGTACATTCATAATTTGTTTTTAATTAGTTATCGATTCATAAAATTAAGTTTTACCAGTTATTACCAGAATATCATTTGTGTTGCTATACAGTATTAGTCAATTTATACTGACAACACATACAGTACACTATTCATTGTATAATGAACTACATGTTCAACTATCTTGTCTGTTTGTTTTACAAATATAAACATTAAATAAGTTTTACATTTATCAATGAAGTGATTAGTGTAATCATGAACTGGTGCACACTTTTATCTTGATTATATATTCCTGAGTCTCATTTACAGTTAGTATTGCGTGAAAAAGGGATCTAAAAGTTGGCTTTTGTTGTGCCAATAGTTGACATAAAGTGTGAATAATATCTGTTAGGAAGTGATGGCAAACATGAGTCGAAATCGCATACTATTTGTCGGCCTCTCATGTCTTGATATGGTTTACGTCTGCAATCATTTCCCTGAAGAAGATTCCGATCAAAGGTTTTATTGAATTTGAGATATAAATCGTTTTTATATTATTCTTACATTCAGTGAATAGTTTGAGAATATATTGAAAATTTTGAAAACTATATAAACTGAGAGAAAGTGTCTGAAAAGACAAGTGATGTTTGAATGAGATTTGAATTGATATTAAAAATTGTTGTCCGAAAGAGCCGTTTATAACGCGTGGAGAAGAGGTGGCAATGCGTCCAATAATAGCACAGCTTTGATGCAACTCTTGAAGTGGAAGTCTCACGACTTGGAGGTCGAGTTCTTTGGCACCATTGCTCAAGACTTCCCCTCACAGTATGCCATTAATTATTATTATCAGCCTATCATTGAAATCTATTTACAATATAAGTTATATAAAACCTAAACTACATATTGAGTGCATGTTTGATGTCATATACTATAAGAATCGTATGATATGTACAGTAATGCAAAGAATGTGTTATTCTCTCCATTCATAACATTCTTATTGATTGATTGATTCAAACGAATGAACATTCAGTGAATTGAATGCAGAGTTCACTCAATACTCGCATACTATAATCAAACTCAAGTATTTTTGACATTAGATTAAGTCAACCAAAAAATATATATGAATATTTTGCTCAACTTTTACCATCACTTGACAATAAATCTGTTTAATATATGATGAGTTGGATGTTGTTTCTCTCATATTCTTATTCTGTTATTAACTCTTCTTAACCATTAGATTATGAAAAGAATTTTCATAGAAAATGAGTGAATCAGTCGATTAGTGGGTGAGTGAGTGAGTGAGAGAGAGAGAGAGAGAGTGAGTGAGAGAGAGAGAGAGAGAGAGAGAGAGAATTTGATTGATTTTGTTTATTGATATTCTGAACAGATTTCTAATAAAAGATTTGAACGAAAGTGGAATAATAATAGAAAATATAGTGAAACACTCGGAAAGTCAATGTCCGGCCTCTACGGTCATCATTAATGCCCAAAACGGATCCCGAACTATAGTCCACTTCAATAAGTATTTAACATTAATTTTTGTATTGACATTAAAATTAATTATATTTATTATCTAAAATTAACAGAAATTTGCCGGAATTGAAGTCAGAATCGCTTTCAAAGCTATGTTTAGATAAATACAAAGCCATTCATTTCGAGGGATTAAGAAATGTAACAGAGATTAGAAAAATGATAGCATATGTGAGGGAAAAGGATGTTTCACGAGAAATTACAATAAGTGTTGAATTCGAGAAAACTTGTGAAGAATTGAAAGATTTACTCAATGATGACATCGATATCTTTTTTGTTGAGCGAGAGTTTGCAAAAATTATGAATTATACTACTGTTGAGCAAACAATTAGAGGCATATCCGAGAGAGTACATCCCAAAGCCCTAATCATCTGTCCGTGGGGTGAGTCGGGTGCTCAGGCCATCGACAACAGCAATAAACAGGTATACTATTCGCCATCATTTCCACCGAAATGTGGAGTTAACGACACGTTAGGAGCGGGCGATACCTTCCTGAGTGCAACCCTTTTTGGTTTACTTGTCCTTAATTATGGTCTAAATGATGCCATTGTATTGGGTTGTCAAGTGGCCGGTGCTAAGTGTGGAGTCTTTGGATACAACCATTTACATGAATTTGAACAATACATTTGATTTTCTACAATCAGACGGTCTATTATTATACAGACTTTTAGATGTGAAACCATTTTCATAAACAATTCTTAAACTTTTTATAAAAAACTTTATTATAGTTTTATATTTTATAATATTAAAGATTGTTAACTTAAATAACTTGATTTTCATTTTCCCAATCATTGGGTGGCGTACATTCATTATCTTTTAATAAATAGCTATAAGAAAATGGATCGGAATTCCTGAATACTCTTCCGTTGGAAGCCCTGAACTCATGAGTTTGGTCTCCATTATTGTCACCACATAATCCGCACAACTTTCCTGAATAGTATCGTTCGGCTCCAGTTCTGAAGCCATAGCCGTCTGTAGCAATAGTTATGCCAAACTTGTTTGATATCATCTCATAATATAGTCCATTGAATGTTATCGAAAACAGTTCTGTGTCTGAATTTCCCGTTTTTACATATACTTCATATGGATCTAATTGAGTGACGACCACTTTTTGGCCATTAACCTGGACAGTTATGCCGTCCGCTACAGGTATTAACTCAATCTTATAGTTTCGGTCCAAATACACTCGTATTTCTGTTTTTTCATTTTGTCTTTTGGCTAAAATCATAAAGTTTTGTTCATTTGAACAGTCCTTTGATATGACAGCAAAACAATTGGAGTCAATATTTGGCAAACTATACGATACGTTATCAAAGGTTTGCACAATATTTGCTTGAATTATACAATAAGCTATGAAACGAGAAAAATATTAGATTTTTGACTTCTATATAAAAATAAATACTCACGACTTTTGACGACTTTGCGTAAGACTCGTATGTATTGAAAGTCATGTAAAGGAAACGTAATGACAGGCACTAAATGTTGCCAAAGAGGAACATCTTTAAAGACTTGTGTATAATAGGGCGCTGTTATCCTATAATCCACTCTTTGTGCCGATACTGATGTATTGCTTTCAAAGTCGATGTGACCGGGAGTAGTATTTCCGTATCGATAGCTCACCTCTGAATATTGAATGTATTTACGGCTTAACATTTGTGTTAATTTTTGGGTATAGTTTGTAAACTTTTCCGATATATTTTCAAAATCAATTTGAACCGAAAATTTTCTCATTTGAGAGATTGGGTATAAATATCGGGGACAATAGGGGAAAGAGTCGTATTTGAATTTAAATGAATTAAGACAAAAGTTATAATTAACAGCATATGGGTTGGACTTTTCGGGAGTCATTTTATTCCGATTTTTCTCTAATATCTTTTGTTCATCCGTTTGAGATATGTCTCCCTTTATATTGATTTCGGATTCATTGTTACAATTTTGTCCAAAAGCTATTCTGGTGGTGAGGTTGACGGTGTGGTCCAAACCCAAAGTGTCTAACTTTGCGAACTTATTTAAGTCATATTCTGGATATTTGACGGAAGCGACGGCACATACTTTGAATCCATTATCATTAGCAGAGTTTCTGTCATAATAGACATTCACTTTATGCAAAAGTCTATCTCTGGAGTACATGTATTGGATTTTGGCAGTGATTATCCGCTCAATGCTTCCAAATGTCGATATTTTTACACTTAATGAATGATTTTGTGCTCTTTTATGTTTAAGTGAAGTATATTCTTTGAAATGTGAGTCTTCTTTCATACTAAAGGCATTCAATTTACTTATGTCTGACATATAATCGTCAGCGGAGATGATTATAGACAACTGAGTGGAAGCATTCTCTACCGGTGCTATAGTTCTCACTCGGATTTCATAGGGATTAGCCATCGGTTGTATTCTGTATATTGCTATCCTTTGCGGAAATGACTTTTCTGTAAAAAGTCTAAACCATTCGTTTCTATCATTTTTTCTAACACTTCCTTCAAATCGCAATTCAAACCCCAAATAGTCTTTTAGCCAACTTTTTTCAATCTGTCGAGTATTTACAAAAAACAAATAATTTAAAACACTATCCCTATAAATTTTTTATATAAAATGTGTATGGTTACTTTTCTCAATTGGCTTTCATCATAAATGGCTTTAAATGTGGGTTCACTGATCAACGGGATTTTGTTTGCATAGGAATCCAAATATGTAAAGGGAATGACTTTATCGTAGAAAATGTCTTCATTTGTGGGAAACTTTTTGATCTCAAGTTTTCTATTCTTTATGTCATAATTTAGGTTTAAATTTAATGGCAATGAATATACAGTTTTGCGATGAATACCGACACCAGCTATGAGTTCATAAATAGTGATTTACTCAAAATAAATGATTAGTGTATTACTTACCTCTGTTGGTGATAACAGGCATAAGGATGCCAGTTATGGCATATTTGTGCGAATTGGACACATACTTGAAGTCAGTGCTAATTCTGAATTCTGTGGGCGACTTATTATCGCGGTCTTCACTAAAGAGCGCCGGCTGTACAGCGAAACTCAATTTATTATTAATGAGATTAGTTTGCGTCAAAGTCTTGTATTCAAAGAAATACGGAATTCCCACTTCAGATCTGAGGACAACAATACGGTTCTCTGATTGCGTGAAAAATCGATGCTTTTTGTCGCCAATATTCATATCAAATAACTTTTGAATGTCAGGAATACTTATTGAACCTGAAATTTATAGCATTTAATTTTCTATATTTAGCTTGATAACCTTTAGATAAAAGCGATGTTCATTTCATTTCGATGGCTAACCTTCCGTTAGTATAGAAGAGAAGAATTGTTCGTCAAAATCAATGTAAGAGATTGTGTAGCCCTGAGTGTACAGAGATATGTCTCCGTTAATTGTTTCTGATTCTCGTGTTTCAAACGGCAACTAAAGTCAATAATAAAACAATAAAATAAAGCGAATATCATATCTATGATTCAGGGAATTAATTCGTACGATATTTTCAATCAGTTTGAGCTCATCATCAATAGGGTTGGCGTCCCTAACGACGCGCTTCTTGAATATATCCAAAACACTGGCTTTACTCCAAACACTTCCCTTTTGACCGAAGAAACGATTGATCACTTTCTCGAGTCCATAGCTCTGTATTGAGAGACTGAATGTGTCAAAGGAATGGCCGGCAATGAAATCACTGAAACCAATGTAAACAGAGTTCGGGACATAACTCCTATTACTAGCGATTAGGCTAAAGTGTTGAATGCCTCCGATTCCGAATTGTTCTGCAAATATATGTTCACTCATATAAAAAATGTCAAAAAGTTTGCTTATGTCTCGTCTTACCATCAAATAGGGACCGCATATAAGCTCTTGAATCTCCTTTTCTGACTCGTCCGCCCTGTCTGTCAAATGCTATCTTATATAACCATAAAACTGACTGTAAGTCCTTAACACTGTTATGGGTTTAGATAAAAACCATATTAATAATAATTGACTAAAACATCATTTGAGGAGATATTGGGATATTATTAATTACAATGGTTTATGACAGGGATGCTCGGACTCAGAGAGCCATTTGATGGTAGTGTAGGCCATATTCACTACCTGTCGGTTGTCCTCAACTAACAGTTGTTTTGCAATTAACTGAAAATGATAATTAAATTTTGTAGCAAATATAGCACTCATCTGAAATGTACTGTATATTACATGCAACTGAGCATAACTAGGACCGGATGATAGCCAGGCCAACAGACCAGCAATTCTCAAGTCTTGTTCTTCAGACTTGTTATAAAAGACAGGAACACAAACAGATCGCACTTCTTCGGGATAATTGGATGCCATTCCCATCAGTTTCCAGACAGCTGTTGACCGGACGTAATGTGTATGTGAGCTCTTGATGTAAGTCTTGAGGAAAGGGATGGCCTCTTTGGCCTTTAAATTTCCAATAGTTTTCAATAATAGAATCGTTTCTTTAACAGTCATTTCTGGTGTCACTTCTTGTGCTATCAGTATCTAAAACATGCATTTATTTCGTGTGAATTTCATATTCAAAATGTATATTCAAATAAAGCGATGAATTATTCAGAGACTACTTTATTTCTAATAACCTTAAAGTATTTGCCGGCTATTTCTGGATTGCAATGATGTTTACAATTATCCGAGACTTTATGCTCTTTTCTGTGATGACTGTGAGTATGCTTTGGAGTGGCTTTGAATCGTTGAACGCATTCCTTGCCTACGAGTGCACTGAATGTCAAATAACACGTCCGCTTGAGTTTTGCCGATTCCTGTACAGCACTACTCGCGCACAGTTGCTGTCAATACATACACAACACATTAGGATTTTGATTGCATTTTTCAATATTCATATTATATGCTTTACAAATAGGATTTGCTAAATGGCATACATAGTATTCATCAAAAAGTGTCTCTGATGGTTCTTTAATATTTAGCGATAACTTTGTTAGCATTGAGTCGGCTTTAAATCCGTGAACTTTTTTATTTTCAATCAAATTCTTGATGAATAAAAACGATGGGTTCGTTCCCGAGGCCACCAAACTGTCGATGAATAGTAGCCTACAAACATATTTTTCACTTAAATCTTGTTTCCTATAAAGCCTTTTGTTTTATTTGTATTTGTTTTATAAAAATTTAATTAAAAGTTTAAATTTCAATCTAATGGAGTAGTTTTCTATTCAATTATCGCCGCCTCGTGCCATACGCTCTCAATGCCTCTCAGATGTGTATTTCACTATAAATACTATTTATGGACACAATTCAACATAAAATATCATTCAATCGCATCATCTCTTATAGTGTATTAAAGACTGAAGTTGAATGACATCTCATAAAACAATTTCATTTTCAGTACACAATTCTGGCACTTAATCTAAATTTAAGTGCTTTTGTAAAAAGTAATGGATGATATCATTTTGGACGTCATAAATTTATAAATAAGAGAGGGGGGGAGGGGGTACAAAATGATTCTAGTATACGCTTTTTATTCCTATACGGAATAGCGTATAAAACCAATTTTCTGGTTTTTTTTGTTTATTTGTGAAAATCTACTCAAAAGATGAACCGAAATATCAAATCAATAGATGAGATACCAGTAAATGGAGTGCTTTTTATATACTATTCAATGTCATAATCTTTATATTATTCTTTACTGTAGTTATAGTTGTCTAATATTAGAGTCTAATAAAGGGATTATCTTTTAGGAATATTTGATATATAAGATAAATAATACAATAATTATGAAATGTGATGCTAGGTGATAGATAAAATTAATTTGTTAGTTGGAAACGCTTTGATTAACTTATTAATACACTTTCTTCTATATGAGGTTTGATATACTATTACTAAAATAATTTCTAATTTAGTAAATTAATATCTGTGTTGCAAGAAAATATCTTTGTATTATTTGTTTTATGAATAAACTACTGTATAAATATTGTATGGTACTATAGTTAAGAAATGTATAATTTCATCATTAAATTAATTCGCTTTACAAGCAAGTTTCATTGATTTCATAAGTAAATCAGTCAAAATCATATTATATTTACAGTTATATACAGTATATATAAGTAGTGTGACCAGAGTCAAGAATTCCGTATTGATTTTTAAGAATTTGGGGGTCCGGTCAAGAATCAAGAGAAGGATAAACTCCTAACATTATAAGGTCAAGAATTTACATAATTAATACTGTAATAGGATAAAATTTTATAATAATATGTTGGTTAAAACTGTGAAAACAGAAAAAATGCATATAATAGAGTGCAATGTTAAATTCTTGAATGTGAACACAAAGTGTTCCAAGTTTTCGACCTGGTCACAATATATATATACAGTAATAGTTTTATTTCATAGAATTTCATGAATTATTTACTAGTTTTATTACTAATAATGAGTACTATAAACAATTTATTTCTAACATGATTTATATTTTGTATTTATTTTTACTCTCAATGCAAACAAAAGACTTATTAGAATAATATGCTTGAAGTCTATTTGTGTGTACGAAGACCTATAAGAATGTTGTTTGAATTTAATCTTCAAATATCTTATGGATTTACGCGAAACGGAAAAATATCTACAAAATTGTCATTTTATTACATAAGAACAATGTATGACACGTGTTGTGTATTAAGTACTTGTATTGCAGAAATAAAGGTCAAATATTCAGTGTTCGTTATATTAAATATTTTCTGATATTTCTATTTTCGGTACTTTATATCTTCTTATATGAAAGACTCTTATTTATCATTACTATAGGATTTTGATTTAATAAAAAAACGTTATATTTTACGTTGCCTTACAATCTGTTAAAATTTGCTGAATTGCTTTTTGTTTATAATTCTCTTTGAAACATAAATTTGGAAATTTCCATAACTTTTACAACTTTTTTTAAAACGCATCAATTCATACATATTTATGATAATTAAGTGTTAAGTGGATTCACTAATAATGTTGCTATGCCTAAAATAATATAAAGAATTTTGGAAAACACTTTTTAATGTCAAATTAAAAGTATTTAGATTAATATCAGGTTTACTTAATTTCGTAGATAATGCAAAATTGAAAAATATCGATTGAAGGCTTTCTAAGTCATTCAATGATGTCTACGAATTTTTCAATTGTTTTTATTAAATTTGTGGTGCATTCATATCTGATTTTAAAAAACTAAATTTCATTAACTAAAGTGAATCTATAATAAAATCTTTTACCTTAACATTCTCTGACAAATCACTTTTCAAGTTATTTTATATTTTAAGCGAAGAATATTCTGTTAAAATTTGCATTTTATAAGAATTTATAAATATTTGAGTCATACTGTATACAATATAGTATACAATAGTATACTGTAGTATACAATGTACTACTGTATACAGTATAGTAAGAGTTTAGTGTAAATTGTGAATACCTGTGATCTTCACTCTTATCGAAAACGGTTGTAAACACCTGTTCGACGCCCTCGTAGTCCAGAGTGGACAGGGCGTCGATAATCTCGCCATACTTTGATGGCAGCACAGAGTCAGCGGGGTTTGTATCAGATTTGCTGTAATCGGACACTGTTTCGTTGTAAACACCTGTTCGACGCCCTCGTAGTCCAGAGTGGACAGGGCGTCGATAATCTCGCCATACTTTGATGGCAGCACAGAGTCAGCGGGGTTTGTATCAGATTTGCTGTAATCGGACACTGTTTCGTCCAATAGAGTGACGATTTGAGTGAGTGGTGACTGATATCGATATATATCTCGCAGGAAGTGAGCTCTTCTAAGGTCTATGTTATCAAAGAACTCATTCTTCTGGAGCGGAGAGTTTGACAAATCTGTGGATGGGATCGCGTCGTCTGGTATTACATGGGTTTCTGTGATATTTTTAATGTCAAGCAATTCGAGAACTCCTCTAAACAAATAATTTAATAAAAATCAAATTATTGTTTTATTTTTTAAAGTTTAATTCAATTAAACAATACTTGGATTTTAAATCAAAAATGAGTCCATCCTTTCCATAGGGAGTGCTCGATATGAACTCCTTTTGGGTCACCTTTTCTATGACAAAGTTTTTCAGAGTTCCTCTCATATTATAGTCATAAACAGCAGATATTTGTAGAATAGGCTGACAATGAAAAAGTAAAAGTGAATTAAATGATTGATTATACAAATAAAAAATAGTCATTTCACTCACTTTTCTGATTGAATTGAATTCAAGGCAGTGTTGGCTTATTTCCGATGCGTATCGGAAAGGATGCGGTCTTTTGGCGCACTTCTCATAGTTTCTGACTTTAGTTATATTCAAGACTTTCTCGGAGTTGAAAAGACTTGGCTCTGATCTGATGGTATAACTGGTGTCGCACTCACCAAATGACCCTTTCTATGGTTCACAATATATAAGATGAATCCAAAAAAGCGCGCTAGGTTATTTGCTCGCATTTCTATGTTTCTTGCGATAAATCAATTTTGTAAAAAATATTTTAAACTTTCATTTAATTGTGTTCTTTTGACATACTAACCACCCTGGTGACTCGAGTATTTCAATAATTGTTTTGGACTATTTCAGTAATTTTCAAAAAATTAGTGTTTCAAAACTAGAAATAATAGCAAGGTGGTTTATAGCTTAAATGAAAGCTTATACTTTCTGCTTTAGTTTGTATATTTTGATTTAACCCTGCTACTATTCTGTGACCGGAGACTATGACATTCGCGTTGGTCCAAAATTTTTATTGAAATACTTGAGTCACCAGGGTGGTTAGTATGTCAAAAGAACACAATTAAATAAAAGTTTAAAATAGCTTTTACAAAATTGATTTATCGCAAGAAACATAGAAATGCGAGCAAACAACCTAGCGCGCTTTTTGGATGCATCTTATAAATGATTATTAATTATTCCAATGAATGAAAATAATTACAAACTTCAGAAATAGTGTAAAAACTGCTGCCATTTGTATCATTTTTGAAGCTAAGTTGCAAAAGATTAAGAAAACTCTTTTTCCAGTTAATACTCCATTCGGGCTCATCCTCTCCGATATAAATCTGTCTGATCTGACCGTTCAGTACAACCGCTTTGAAAGGCTTGGAGATGTGATCACTGAATGCCTTCACATCTTTGAAAGTGAACGGATTCTTCTCAAACAAGCCGTCAATCTGTTGGTTCACGACATCAAACCTAATATCGTTGATCTGTATTCAAATAATTGCTAATTAAATCCATTATTATATAAATCTCATTTATTATTCGCAATACAATTGAAATAGTTTATTAGGACCTATAAAATGGGTGTCAGGAAAAAATAATAAAATTTATCAATAAATTCTGATTGTATTAATGCTGAGCACAGATTTTGTTAGCTATTTATGGTGAGAGTGAAAAGGATACGTGAGTAAAAAGCTAACAACAAACTAATGACAATAATATTTAGTATACATTTGTTGTGTAAATCATTGAATGCATTTTGGTTTCCAAGCAATTCTGGTCGAAATTATACTCATCAGTAAAAATATCTTAACCACTAATTGATTAAAAGGAATTTCAGGTAAAAATGTGTCAAAAGAGTACTCTATTAAATGAATGCTTAAAAGTTTTATATTCAATTCAAATGGAAATGTCTCGAAAAGTGTCTATATTTTGACGGAATTCTTGAAAATTGTATAGAATTTCAAATTTTTAAAATTTGTTTCTGCATTTCCACTATTATTGGTCTGATGGAAAGTAATGAGAAATTCCTTATTTGGGATGCCATTTAAAAATTACTAAAGATATCAAGATTAAATAAGTTGGAAATTTTAGAATGATAAATACTACATATATTGTGGTATATGTAATTCAGATCAGATTAACCAATATCCTTTATAACTAAATACAAAAGTAATAATTTTCAATTGTAAAGAATAGGAAATTTTTGTTTTAAAAGAATAAAGCAAAATAATAAATTGCTTGAATTAAGCTTCAAAATTTGTTTATATTTGTTTGTTATTATTTTTTTTAAATCTCAAAGATTTCTCATTACTTTCCGGTCAGTGCAATATAATGATATTATTCTATATGATTTTGTATTTTTATGTCAAACATTTGATTTATATCTCAATTAAGGCAATATACAAAATATTTAGAGAAATATATTTTTGATTATCATAAATATATTCAAACTAATGAGTGAAGGAATTACCAAAAAACAAGTTTTTATGATTGTATTCAATTACAACTGTTTTCATAATTTAAACGAATTTTTCAATTTTTAAGCATAAATTGAGTTTAGACTTGAATTAATGCCAAATGACTTTGCTTAATGACATTTTGTTTTTTTAAATTCTATGCCTTTACTTAAGGGTATCATAAAGTAATCTCATATTCAATGAAGGCCTTAATTATGCTTACAGTGAATACTATTAACTTAGAGTTATTTCTTTTTAAAAATAATTTATTATAATAATTGACAAATAAATGGATTGATTAATGGCATCATTTGTATTGGTTTTTCAATTTATGAATACATTCACTGAACACAACAAAAAAGTCGAGTAACTCATAAATAATGCAATATTTGGTCAGCAAATAATGGATTGATAGGAATATTTAAAAATATAGATTAAAGCGAATGGAGAGAACAATGGAAACACATTTGCAGACCTTAATGAAGAAGTGGTCTTGGTGTATTTGAATGATGACATCGCTGATGGTGGCGGTGCCCGAGCACTGGTTCCTAGTGTTGCGAATCGATGTATAGACATAGGACTCGAACTTATATTTGTATTCCTTTCCCGAGTCATAGCTCTGAGCGAATGATATGAGACTAACTGTGTTTGAAGGGGAGTTCAATACAATCACAGCATATGTTAAATAAATACAACAAAACTTTATTGTCAATCAAATGAGAGAAACGGTTTATATCTCTTACCGAACACTATAACTAAAACGAGTCTCATTCCTAACAAAAGCTCAGAAAATAGTATATTTTTTGTCAAATAAGAGTCACTTACAGTTAAAAGTGAAATCTTTTAGAAACTTATATAAACTTTATAAACTTATATTAGGAACTGACAGCAATGACATTTGTAGTAACAGTGCGTCAAATCTAATCATATTTGTTCATTCAATATGTAATATTTGCAAGAATTGTTAGCTATATTGGTATTTACATAATGTTTAGATATAATAGCGAATCAATAATAGCTATTCATTCAACAAATAATTCCTTGACATTGAATGAATCAAATGGATGTCCAATAGTAGTAATCATTAAACTTATGATAACTTAGTTTATTCCGATTGGTATGCAATGCTATGATCATCACTTTTGACAATATCACTAAAATTACTATATTATAACTGTATATTGATATGCTTTTATATTCAATATAGTCTTCAAATGTGGACACAAACATCTATCCAGTGGTGAGTTCATTGATCCACATCTCATATCACAACAGTTTAGCAGTAGTTTGAGAGCAAAGTTTTCTTATACTCATCATATTTGTCACAATATTCAGTCTCAACAGATAATCAAGAATCACTTCTGGTCTACAAAATGTTCTAGGCAAATATGAAATATTTTGAATAGTATTTTAAATTATATTTTAAATTTTATGAATTACTAAATTTACAACCGATAATATATTGTGTAATAACCGATAATAGCAAATAAATTCATATTTATTGGTGGCTTTATTATTAGTGGTATGATATCATAAAGAGATATCAATTTGTCTTACATTTTAGTGATATACAGTAAACTTATAAACAATTTTCGGTAAAAACTTTTCTTAATTTTATGAATCGATAAATTT